TGTATTCTTTTATTTTTTTTATTTTAGGGAGAGAGAGAGAGAGAAACATCGATTTGTTGTTCCACTTACTTATGCATTCATTGGTTGCTTCCTGTAGTGACCTGACTGGGGATCGAATCTGCAACCTTGATCGGAAGGATGCTCTAACCAACTGAGCTATCCAGCCAAGGCTTGATAATGTAACTTTAAAAGAAACTGCAAAACAGTTCTTCAGGTGCACCATTTTACATTCCCACCTGCAATGAATGAACTTTTCAGCTGCTTTGCACCCTTGCTAGTCATATCAGTCATTTTTATTTTAGTTATAATAGTGAGTGTGAAATGTTATTGTATTTAGGTTTAAATTAATCAGTGCTGATTTTCACTCATCATAGCATTTTGACATTGCACCTTGTATTTGGACAGTAGTATTCAATATGGCATTTCCTTGTATTATATAGGCTTGTTCTATTAATTATACGTCTCAGTGTTTCTTGATTGTAAATCTTCACTTGAAAATATTGTTGGCAAAGGCTGGATCACTTAATTTCTTTTATATCCCCTCCAGCACCTAAAGCAGTGTGTTGGGCTTAAGTTCATCATAGACTTGTTAAATAGCATTGAATGCATTCCTGGGTCACAGTGAGCAGATCTGAGGGAAGAAGCTAGTATCGCATGATATATAAAGAATATCTTTTAAAATTGTTCAGTTACTTTTTAATTATGGACAACTTCAAACATATATCACAGCATAAAGACATACTGCACCCTTTACCCAGCTTCAAAAACTATAATTTCATGGTCCATCTTATTTACACTCACCAGTCCTCCTTAGCTGATGTTTTATGAAACAAATCCCAGCATGTTACTCATACATTTCAGTATTTAGCTGTAAAAAATAACTTTTTTCCTAATATAACCATAATGATCACACCTAAAAGATTAACAGTGATTTTTTTACTATCAACAAATGTACTCTTTTTGTCTCATTTATTTTTATAGTTAGTTTGAATCTAAAGTCATACATTACAGTTGATATGTATTTTAAACTCTTCAAACCTGTAAAGCACCCTTTTCTCTCTTTTTTCTTGTTGAATAAACTATATTGTTTGTCCCATAGAGTTTCCTACTGTTTGGATTTTGCTGATTACATCTCCATGCTGTCTTTTAATACATTCCTCTTCTACCTGTTTTTCTTGTCAATTGGTAATAAGATCTAGACCAGCCGTGGGCAAACTACGGGCCGGATCCGGCCCTTTTGAAATGAATAAAACTATTGAAAAAAAAGACCGTACCCTTTTACGTAATGATGTTTACTTTGAATTTATATTAGTTCACACAAACACTCCATCCATGCTTTTGTTCTGGCCCTCCGGTCCAGTTTAAGTACCCATTGTGATCCTCGAGTCAAAAAGTTTGCCCACCTCTGATCTAGACCCTTGATTAGTCTTTTCTATGTGTTCATCTGTGAAAATAATTCCTAGGTAGTGGTACGGTAAGTACTTTTTTGTTGTTTTGTTAGTTCTCACCCAAGGATATTTTTCCCATTGATTTTTTTATTTTTTAGAGAGAGTGGAAGGGCAGGAATCGAGCCTGCAACCAAGGTACATGCCCTTGACCAGAATCAAACCCACAACCCTTCAGTCCGAAGGCTGGTGCTCTATCCACTGAGCCTAGGGCAACATTTTTTCCTTTTTTTTTAGATTTTTTAAAAATAAATTTTTATTGATTTCAGAGAGGAAGGGAGAGGGAGAGAGAGATAGAAACATCAATGATGAGAAAAAAATCATTGATTGGCTGCCTCCTGCACGACCCTTACTGGGGATCGAGCCCACAACCTTGGCATGTGCCCTTGACCGGAATCAAACCTGGAATCCTTCAGTCCGCAGGCCGACGCTGTATCCACTGAGCCTAACCTGCTAGGGCTAGGGCATCATTTTTAAGTGTACAGTTAGTATATTGTATTTGGATGTCAGCAGCCCTTAGCCTATGGAAGAAGTCAAGAAGACCAGAGCTGCAATTTAGGATTTACACAGAAGTCTGGAGAAGATATGGGAGAATAGAATGTTGAATTCTAGTATTACTTAAGTTAATCAGAGGTGATCTCTGATATCCTTGAGAATTCTTTGAATTATCTAAATGTTAATTTCTACCACTGATATACAACAACATCCTTCTGACTCAAAGGAATGCTATCTTTAGGAAACCTCTCATTGCTATGTCAAGCAAAAATACCATGGGGTGGGGTGGGGGATGTGAAATGACCTGTGGGGCTAAGGTCAAATGGTTCACAGAATCGTGCCCTCTCAAACATGTCCACAGCCTAAAAATGTTTGATGAATTTAGATGTGGTCAACGCCTTCTAATTCTTCAGAGCAGTTTTGCCAAGAATGTACATCTCTTAGAAGGTAGTAGATCCCCAGAGACCAGGACATTTTTACCTAAGAAAAATATTGTACAGTGGGCTGTAGGACTCATGAAACCCTTGCCTGTTTCAGACGCTGACCGGAAAGGAGATTGAGATTGACATTGAACCCACAGATAAGGTAATACCCCAACACATCTTCATGCCTATCTCTCTACATTTGGATATGCTGATGAACTTAGTCCTTTGCTTTCATGCTGTCTGCATAGCTCTGTTCTTTCCACTTCCATGGCCCTACCCGTATCTACCACGGGTAGCCCCTGACTACTTGTACTCCTTAAGGTGGAACGAATCAAGGAACGTGTGGAAGAGAAAGAGGGAATCCCCCCACAGCAGCAGCGGCTCATCTACAGTGGTAAACAGATGTGAGTTGGAATGGAAATGAGTGTGTGGCAATCTCACGTGAAGATGAGGGAGCCAGTACGGAGATGGTCTGCTTCTCTTTATTGGTGGCCTAGACCCTTTGACAATTTAGTGAAGCCTCTGCACCCCTTCTCCGAATCAGATTTCTGCAGACATAAAATAAAATACATAGAATTACAGAAGCAAATTATATTGAAAATATTTTCAAGATATCTGCAAATGTAATGTGTGAAAATATCTAATTTCTATTGTTAATAGGTTACCCATATTGCTAATACCACTATGGATTTTGCCTATGTTCACAATTTAAAGAAATATTAGATTTCAGGTAGGAGTTAGTAAAAATAAAGATGTAACTTTTTTTTCTCATCTGAGTTTATAGACACGTCCCCCCCCACCCCCACCCCCGAGAGATCCATGAAACCCAGGTTAAGCCCTGTTCTAGGTGATTTTTCTAATCCTTTTTATGCCTTCTTTTCCTGCAGGAATGATGAGAAGACAGCAGCTGATTATAAAATCCTAGGTGGTTCAGTCCTCCACCTGGTGTTGGCTCTAAGAGGAGGAGGTGGCTTTAGGCAGTGATGGACCCTCTCTCCATTTTACCTCCTTACCTTGTCTCTCGTGATGAGGCATCAGATATCCTGTCACTCTCTGGGACACCAGAGTCACTGCCCCCTTTCCTGGATGCCCAGTCTTGTGTGTCTACGGGTAGGAGACTGTGAGGACCCCAGGATGCAGTGTTCCTGTCCCAAATGGCCCCTGCTGCCTATTGGGTTTTAGTTGCAGTCCTGTGTACTTCCCTCTCTTATGGCTATGTCCCTGGTTGTCAATAAAATATTTCCTGGCCTCCTGGAATCTTTCTTCTGTTATACAAACATGACTGAAGTCAAAATGGACTCAGTGCACACCCAGTTATACCAGGCTGAGAGAGTAGGACAATGGAAGGGAATGTGCCCTCAGAATGATTACCAGACTGTCAGTGGTGCCAGGTCTCACCAGTTCATGAGAGCTCACTATTGGCATCTCTTTACAACCCCAAGTTAAGTAACTTCATGCTGGTAGCTTGAAATTGGCCATGGTAGAATATGGTAATTGGCAAACAATGAAAATCGGTTTCTCCCCCCAAACTGGTGGTTCTACGTCTATCATCATACTGCTGACATGGTAGGAACCAGGAGAGTGAATTACCTCCTGTCGTGGACCTACTGGACATTTGGGCCTGACTTGAGAAAGGCCTGCGGGGTGTTACAGATACCACAGTCTTTATGGCTGGAGTATTGCTGAGGGCTCTGGGCTCTGTCCTGTGGAGAGGCGCTGATAAGAACAGAGGCGGAGTGAGGAGTGGCACAGCCATGATGGGCCACTTGTCTTAGTTGGTGAGGTGAGGTGAGGGACCAGTGCCAGAGAAAGGTCTGCCTTTCCCTGGCGTCTCTAGGAGAACCTCGGGAGACGGCGTGAAGCAGAGAAGTAAGGGAAGGAGAAACGGTCCGCTGTGGCCCCTCGCGTGGTCGGTTGGCCCTGGCTGCCGTCCTTCCCGCCCTCCACCGTCAGATGGCAGCCTTGCTCGGCCTTCAGGCGACCGAGGCCGGAGGGTATCTCTGGCCCCAGAGAAGGCCCCGCCTCCCTGCACGCAGGCCGTGGGCGCCGGTGATGGCGCCGCTCCCTAAGCTCGCTGTCTTCGATCTGGGTGAGGGACCCCTACTGCGGAGAGTGTCGTAGGGCGCGCTCCTTTTCCAAACCCCAGTTCCTGTTCTCAAGTCCCTGCCCCCTCCAGGCTGAATCCTCCCCTTTCTTCCCCGCGCAGATTACACGCTCTGGCCATTCTGGGTGGACACGCACGTAGACCCCCCATTCCACAAGAGCAGGTGAGGGCGGGCTGGGGAGGACGGGCCAGAGGGTCGCGCCGGAGCTGAGTGCATTCTCGCCTTCTCCAGTGATGGGACTGTACGAGATAGGCAAGGCAGGACCATCCGACTGTACCCAGAGGTGCCCGAGGTCCTGGACCGATTTCGAGGCCTTGGGGTGCCCATGGCAGCCGCTTCACGGTAAGAACAACTGAAAAAAACCTCAATCTAATGTTGACAGATGCATGCGTGAGACTTCTTGTGTAAACCCTTGGTTACAAAAATGTAGGCGGTGGAAAACTTGAAGGTATTGTACATTTTTAAAATTATGACTTCCCCTGTGCCTTTTATTTGTTCAGCGTTGGCTTAGCGCCACCTATGTCAGGAAGGATTGGAAGTAGAATAAGGACCTAGAAAGCCTATCCGTCCATCCTGGGGAAATAGCAAGTTTATTTCCTCCTGGTGATACATAACTTCACTTGCAACTCGGGCCCTCCACTCTCCTGATCGCATCTATTACACCTTTTTGCAGGACAGGTGAAGTAGAAGGGGCCAACCAGCTACTGGAGCTCTTTGACCTTGCCAGATACTTTGTTCAAAGGGAAATCTATCCAGGCAGCAAGGTCACACACTTTGAGAGGTATGAGGGAGAGGAGGGTAGAAGCAGGGGGAGAGAAGAGCAGAGAGACTGGAAGAACTAAGAAGCCAGCGTGGTTACTCCCCTGCCCTGCCCTGCACAGGCTGCAGCAGAAGACTGGAGTTCCTTTCTCCCAGATGATCTTCTTTGATGATGAGAAGCGGAATATTGTAGACGTCAGCAAACTGGGTACTGAGTGGTGAGAATAACCATCTGGGAAACGGGGAAGAAAGGGTTCCTAGGAGAAACGAGGTGTAAAATATCTCTTTTCTCTCTAGGTGTTACCTGCATTCATGTTCAGAATGGAATGAGTCTTCAAGTCCTGACTCAGGGACTAGAGACCTTTGCAAAGGCCCACGCTGGACCCTGAGGTCCAGTCCTGTGGAGGAGCCTCATTTGAGGCATAAAACTCAAGGAAACCAGGAAGGTGTTTTCAGGTGCCTGTGTAAATTATAAAGTGTATTTGTGTGACCAGAAATCTTCTCACAGCGTGGAGTGGTTTTTCTCGCGCGTGGACCAGGGTTGCCTACCAGAGTGTGAGGGTTAGGCTGCACCAGGTTCTGCCTTACAGCCTGTGGCAAACCCAGGACTCTGTCCCCTCTCCCGGCCCCGCCCCACCCCCTCTCCTGAGCTGTCCAGGGCATGAAGAGCCAAGTCTTCCACTGCCCCCTGCACATTTCCTTCCAGGAAACAGGTTTTTTTTTTGGGGGGGAAGGGGGGGCAGCCTTTTTATACTTCAAAGTGAAGTGGCTGCTTTATTTTTTTTATTTGTGTGTGTGGATTTATTTTCAAAATTTTAGTTTTGATTACAGTTTACATTTAATATTATTTTGTTTTGGTTTCGTGTGTACAGCATAGTGGTTAGATAATTATATACTTTACAAAGTGATCCCCCCAATCCCTCGCCCCCCTTCCCTCGTAGGTTGGACAGTCTGTTCGAAGCGGCTGCTTTGAACCCAGCTTGCGGGTTTGGGGCTGGTGGCTCCCGACGTACCCACCTGACACCATACATACTTATAATATTATTGACTATATTCCCTTTGCTGTACTTTATATCATGATCATTTTGTAACTATTAATCTGTACTTCTTTTTTAAAAATTCTTTTTGTTTAAAGCATTACATAAGTCTTTTCTCCCCCCGCATTGATCTCTCCCAGGCGGCTCCCC